CTTCCCCCACGTGCAGGTTGTGAAGCTGTGCCGTGACTGCCTGCAGAAACAGGAGCCTGTGCTGGGGGACACGAACATCTACCTCCTGAGGATCCTCAGCATTGCCTCCGAGGTGCTCTCCTACCTCCAGATGTTTGAGGAAGCAGCTGACTATGCCAAGAGGATGGTGGATGGCTACCTGTATGTCTGTGCCCCGTTTTTGGCAGCTCTTTGTGCTTATGTAATGTTAAGCAGTGTTACGGCAATAATTTTCTTACTCTGCTCCTATCAGGGCAGTGGTGCTGAATTTCAGATGTGAACCTGTAAATATATCATAAGATAGAGAGAGACCCCTTCTTAAATGCACAAGAGCTCCCAAACACCTCAATTTACTAAACTTGACCTGGCAATTGGTTTGGGTACACTTTTTGTTAGCCTTTTGTTTTGTCTCAGAAGCATCTCAGGGCTGCCCTGACAGCAAGACACAGAGCCTGGGTGTAGGACAGAGAGGCTGTCACTGCAGGTGATGGTCTGTTCCCCTGCACCCTGCAGGAAGGAGAACTTGCAGAGAAAAGAGAAACCGTGTCAAATGGCTGTCACTCAAGATACCCCTTAACTCTTGAATAGTTCGTGGATTTTATTTTGGCTACTTAATTTAGTCCCAGGGTAGATGCTAAGTAGGAATGAAGAAATTCAGGCTTAGTTCACATAGATCCAGGGTAAATCTCACAGTAAAAATTGTGTGCTTTATTATTACTGAGATTTTGTGGCAGGACTGATGAGTAGTTAATAGAAAAAATAAAAAAGAGAGAGAAAAACAAAAGAGAAAAAGAAAAAAGGAAGTAATGGAAACCATAGGGAAGACAGAAAAGCCCAGTTCATCAGCTCATTCACCATCCTGCTAAGAGCATCTTATACTCATTACTTGTCTTCTTGTCGGTTCTAGCCCAAAAGGCTTGTGGTATTCTGTTCTTTTGCAGTGGGGTGACAGAGTCACCTGCCTGGCTCAAAGGCCTGACAAGCAACTTTAATTGTCCCAGCCCTGGCACTGAGCTATTTGAATCACACAGAGGAAATTCCTTCCCCTCTGTGTTCCTCAGCTTTTCAGACCACAGTGAGGACTATGGTAGTTTCCTTCCTTGATTTAAGATCTGCCAATTCAATATGCCAAATAAACCCTTAAAGGCAGGTTTTCAGGTAGGTCCAAGCAGCTTCTAACTCTGCTTCAGCTTCTAAAGTTGGATGCAGGGGAGAGGTTTCATTTTTCCCACCTCAGGTACTGACAGTCCGCAGAGGCAGGGGCGCATCTGCACGGGGTGACATGAATATTTCTGAAGTTTCGGGAACCACCTGTTTCTCTTCCCACTTTTATTGAGAATCTGGTAGTTGTTGCATTCTGATTTCACTAAGCGCCAAGTTGGTGCCAGCTGAGTAGTAGGGTCAGATCTAAGTTTTGTTTGTGCCAAAACAACGTGGAATGAACCCTGTTCACAGGTGGTTCATCTTTCACAACTCGTGTCCCCGTATAGCTCTGTCCTTGTGCAACGTGTTTGCCTGCTCTTTTTAGGCAGGGCTGCACATTTTGGTGGCACTGGTAGGCTCTTCTCCTGAGTAAACAACCTGCTCTTTGGCAAACATACCACATCGCTGACAAGCTTCTGTGAAACCTGATTTTTTCCTGACCCAATTACTCAATGTGTTTCCAGGAAAATATATCATCCCAACAACGCGCAGCTGGGGATGGCTGTGATGCGGGCAGGAGTCACTCACTGGCACGCTGGTCTCATTGAAGCTGGGCATGGCTTGATCTGTAAAGCCTATGCCATTCTCCTGATAACTCACGGACCTTCCCACCCAATTACCAAAGATCTGGAGGTAGGTGCCATCTCCTGTGTCGTCTTTGCTCTCTGTCTGGGCAAAGTTATATTTCAAGCTGTAGAAACAACCCATCCGTAAGAGCTGAGAGATGTATCAAGTACTGACTGCTTCTTAATAATGCTGTGCTTTCATGGAGAGTGCTACGGTCTGCTGGGAGATGCATCCCCCTTCCTACTGGAAATTTTCATCCTGAAAAATGGGTTTTATCCTGCACCAGAACATAGATTTAAAATGGCAGCGGAGCCCCTGAATCTTCTTTGAAACTGCTGTGCCCAAGGAAAGAGCCTCCCATTCCACCAACAGTCTGATTTTGCTGCTCTTGGAGGCTTGGCACTGTAATTTAACTATATCAGATTATCTATGGTGGATGTTCCCAGTTTACCAACTGATTTTCTTTATTGGTGTTCATTCTTCTTTGTTTACCACTCTCCATTCCTTCTAAGCAGCAGTGCATTTTTTCCTCAGATGACTGATGGGTATTTCCTATCTTAGAGTCAAAGAGCTGCAGATCCCAGGGAGTTACATCTGCTCAGATATGAGGAACTGTTTACAATTGCAGCTGGGGAATCTGTCATATACTTAGCCTTTAGCTCACTTAATGTGACCTGTTGGCTTTACAGCATTCTTCCTTATTGCCCTCAAAAAATTACAGGGTGCCAAATGAAATCCTTTATTTGAGAGTTTCCCCTGTGTGTAGCAAAGCAGCACTTCCATTTCTGTGTTTCCCTTCACACTTAGTTTGGGAGGAAAATAGTGGATATACAGCTCATGCTTATCTCTGTGCTGCTAAGCCAAGGGTTGAGTAAACTCACAGGCAGGTATAAAAATATATCCTAGGTCATTATATGGCCCAGGACATCCCTGGAGGACACTGCCTGTCTTTTGGCTGTGTTTTGTCCACTTGCTTCGAGATTCCCTGCGTGACAGGTTCTGTAACCTGCTGTGTCCCTCAGGCCATGCGTGTCCAGACGGAGATGGAGCTGCGCCTCTTCCAGCAGAATGAGTTCATGTATTACAAGATGAGGGAAGCTGCCCTCAAGAACCAGAAGATCCAAGTCATGCCTGAACCCAGCAATGAGAATGCACCAGGCCTCTTCCACAAAAAGGAATAATGACACAAATCCACACCTGTAGGATGACATCACCTGTGGCGCTTCCAAACACTGGGAAGGTGTTATAGGAATGTACTGTATCCATAAGGGTTGTTTCCAGTGGCACCAGTCTGACAGCATGGACCTGCTGGGGGGAAATCCTGAAAAATCTTCTGAGGGCTGAAAGCAGAAGAGGTCTTGGCAGAAACAACATCCTTTTTCTACCACTAGCATTAAAAATCAAAGCAGAACAACATGTTATAAAATTATTTACATTTTTATTGGAAGCCTGTTTCTCTCTACACAAGTCCTGATTATGAAGTCCTTTGCTACATTTTAAATGGTTTTGCTTAAGTGGTTCTGTTACTTCCTTGGGATGACATAATTTCTTTCCAGTGATGTCCATGGGATGGTAGAAGTGGGAAGCTGGTTCCAAAAAGTGTCATGTATTTCTGCAGGCATTGAGTGCAAACTCAGTAATACCCAGAGATGGTGCTTGTGTTCAGTGGTACATTTTTTATGAAAAGTGCTGGAAAATGATTCTACAGCTGGCACAGCTGCAACATCAAACTGTGGGCACTTTGCAAGTGAGACTAAGTGGAATTCCTACATCAACGTAAGTTAATTAGGGCCAATTGGTCTCCTGAGTTAAAAATCAGAAAATATCTGCAGTGATGGCAGCAGATGGACCCATGCCAGAAGCCAGTTGCTCTAGTGTCGTGCACTGGCTGTGTGGATTGTTGTAACTGAACAAACATTTCCCAAGGAGGGGTATCCGCCTTTACTCACTTGCTGCCTTTAGGCACGTGGATTTTGACTTAGACAGGTCCTTAATCAATTTTGCATTGATAAAAAAAGGGATAGTCCATGGATCAGCTGCCAGTGGACATCCAACTTAGCTAAGGAAAAGTCTAAAGGTAAGGGTTGGATTTCTAGTTTAAAAAAGGTCTTTGCTGTCTGCCCATCTATCTCAAAATACAACTGGTTTGCTTCAGACCCTCAGTGGCAGCCAGGAGATGAAAAGGTTTTTCAAGAATCCCATGCCTGCTCCTCAGCAGGATAGCAAGAAAGCAAAATCAGGGCTTTTCCTGTTTGACACTTCTGAGTGATTTTGTTGATGTTTCTCCAGATCTGAGTTCACTGGAGACCAACATCTGCTTTTGGGGCACTGTTGAGCTAAGCCCTTCCATTTGTCCATGAGGTGCCTGCCTGGTTCCCAGTGTGACAATCCATATTGGTTCAGTTCTTGGCATGAGGATCAATGTAGAGCTGTAACATGAAAACCTTTCCTGGGAAGGGAGAAGACCTGAGAGAGATGCACAAATTGGTCCTGCAGCGACATGTGTTGAGGTTGCAGAAGGAGATGGATAAACACTTGTAGTATTTCACCTGTATTTCACCCTGGAAGAAGTGTTCAATTCCAGTTCAACCCAATTTATCAGGTGCAGTTTAGGGTGAAACACACACTGGACACCTGAAGGCAGTTGGGGGCCCTCCTAAAGTGGAAGGGTTGGGAGGAGATGGAGATGGTGTGGCCAGAGCCTGTAGGGCTGGATCCTACTGCAGAGGGGTGAGGATGAAGATGGCTGTTGGTACACACACAGACTGCCCCCATGCTGGTTGCTTCTCCAAGGCAGCTTTCCAAGCAGGATCACTGACATTTCCTTGAGTCCACCTAAACCACCTCATCCTTTGGCCCTGCTGGTCACCTTGCCATCACTTCGGCCATGCTTGTAAGGAAAGGGAACTGAACCCTTTTCCTGCTCCTCCATCCACCCAGACAGGGCAGCCGTGGGTGCAGGACCCACTGGGACATCCCCAGCAGGATGCTGGCACCTGTCCCCAGGAAGGAGCTGCAAGAGCACTCATCAGCATGGGGCACATCTCAGAGGGTCACTCAATGGCTCTGAGCCTGCACCCTGGCTCAACTCCATCCAACAACATCATCACAGCCTTAGCTCAGCCTATTGCCCAGTTTCTACCAGTGCTTGCATGAATTTTGGAGGTTGTAGTCTCTTCATGGTAGCAGTGAAGAGACTGATGACAAGGAAGAAGGCTTTCATAAAAATTTTATTATAATGGATGCATTTTACACAGTAAAATGATTGGTATGTGCAAGGTTTCTAGACTCTCTTGCTGATTCTCTTGCAGGTGAGGTCACCCATCATCATTGTCTGAAAAACAAATGGAGAGTGTTAGCTTTTTATGGATTTGTAGAATCATAGAATATCCCAAGTTGGAAGGGACCCAGAAGGATCATCATGGTGCTTAGCTCCAAACTCATATGTTGAAAAGATCTGGTCTTGCAAATCAAAGCAGGACTGATCCCCAGCCTATCTCCTATAAACTGATCTTTTAAAGCTTTGGATTTCTTCATGAATACCCCAGAACAGGTAGGGATAATCTGGCACCCCCCAGCTGGGATCAGTTTGCTGTGTGTTGCTTCTTTAAGGGTGCCAAGCCCACATACACACCTTTACCTCTGGGAGGGTGAGAACATGCCCTCATTACCTGAAACCTTGACCAGCAGTGCCTAAACTGGGGTCTTTTAAATACTTTTTGGGTCAGACTCTAATGACAGCTGCCCTCAGTGCCTGGCTGCAGAGCCTGCATGCAAGCACCTCCTCTTCTCCAGCACCTCCCCAAGGTACCCAGCATCTCTGTAGGCTTTCTAGAGCCAAACCCTAAAGGCAGCTCTAAGCACCACTACCCCAGCCATTGTCCTTCCATACTTACATGGGTGATGGTGTCTCCATTGAGCTCGGTGATGGATTTCAGCCCTTTCACGTTTGCGATCAGTTTGTTGTTACCCTCCATCTGCACAAGACCCTGGTAGGAGGACACAGAGGCATTCATGTTGTTGCTGGAGGCCACCTCAACCCCTGCATTTTGTCCTTTCTCTTCTGTAGTAGGAGAGGGCTGCAGAGCCACCTGAGCTGGGCCAGGGCATGCCATGTCATCTTCTCTCCACCACCCACCTACTGCTCACTGCTGCAGAAACCTCCTTTGGGCTGAGATGACTGGAGCTGGGTGAGGGCATGGGGCTGAGGAAAGGCTCAGTCAAGGCAGGCAACTATTTCAGGAGCTTTCAGAAACTCAGTCATGGCTAGAAAGCTCTCCAAGGGAAAGGCACATCTGCTGAGTCTCTCCCCACCAGGAACTGCACATCTTAAAAGGCTCCAGACAGCACCAGCACCCCTGGGGCAGTTATCACTGATCACTGAAATCACTCAAATAAATAACCCAGCAAAGCCCATCTCTGTTTATTTGTCTTGTCCAGCTGTCCTTGAGCTTCTGGTTTATGGAGGGTAACACTTCTAATAGCTGTTTCCCCCTTTGCTTTATGCCAGAGGGACTTCAGTGATGCTGTAAATTGTGATACAGCCAGTACAGTTCTCAGAGCCTGATTCACCAGGGTGTTTTTTTTTTTGTGGTCATCCCTCTTACTTTCAAAAGTCCCTGAAATATCATCTTCTCCTGAGGTAGAGATGAGAGGCAATATTTGCCAATGGTGCTGCCTTGACATTTTATGAACCACTGAAAACTAATGTCCAGGAACGGGAGCTGACCCAGTTTCAAGGGTGATAACTCCTCACCTTGCCAAATCATCTCACCCAGTGTAAACAGAAGCAGTGGAAAAGGGTAGCAGAGAAGTTAACAGCTACTGGGACTTTAAAGGAGAGATTTATTGGTTTACGATTCATTGTCTGACCTTCCTGCACTACCTTTGAGTCAACAAAATGAAGGTGGAGCTATGTTTTGTGTTGCAATATGACACAAAGTCAATCCCTTACACCTCAAATCTTTCAGAACTTTTGCTGTCAGAAAAATCTACCAAAGTATCTCTATCCCCCTTTTCCAAATGGGATATTAAAACATTGGCTTCCAGTGTTTTCCAGACCGGGTATTAAAATAACTTTACAAATGCAAGAAGTGCAGAAGTGCTTTAGCACCTCAACCCCTTTGCTCAAATGTGGAGGGAATGGCTGGAGAGAAAATTTAATGTCCCTGTGCCCACAAAGCCCTGGCAGAGGAGTGGCTGATCACTCACCTTTGCTTTCTCTCCTGTCAGCATCTCAATCTCACACTCCTCCCCGATGGTGAACTCGTTTGTCAGCACTTTGGAGCCAGTGGTCACAGTGACCTTGAACTTTTTCCCATTCTGCACAATTTCTGTGGTGCTCTTCAAGTCCTTGCCCTTCTGGATCTGGTCATCAGGAAGCCCTGCCCAGGAACAAGAGGCATTATGTGAACCATGGAGCCAACTGTGGGCAGATTGCTGCTGAATGAATGAATGAATGGATGTGGCAGGATTTGGGGACCTACAGCAAGGAAGTTTCTATTCCAGTGTGGAAAAACCTTTCAATGATGATGGTTCCCCAAGAACTAGGTAACCCTGAGTCTGCTGGGGAGGAAGAATAATACTCCTATCCTGTATTTTGTGTGGGAACTAGACATATTCCTTGTCTCACTGACCTGGCTGGCAGCACAATAAGTACCTCCCTGACTAAGAAAACATCCTGCTTTCTTTCCTTCACTGAGGGGCAGGAAAAAATGCAATAAAGCAAGTTAGAATGAAGGAACCAAGTGGGTTTTTTTTATGAGATTCAGGGTTCCTCAGAACCAGTTAACTAAAGTCTTCTCTCAAAGCCTGAAGCTGATCTGACAGGTAGATCCCTCCTGACACATAACTGTGCAGAAACAGTGCCAAAACCTCCTGAATCCCCACAGGAGCACATTCCCTGTCACAGATACTGGTGGAAATCTCTCTAGTCCCATTCATCATTAAGCATTTAAACAACCCCAGCTATTTTTCTGATCAATGGTTGAATTTGGGGCTTTGCAACATCACCGAGCAGCAGCACAGGGGTTGAGCCATGTCCTGCTTGCCCTCAAATTTCACAGCCTGATGGAGCAGATCTGCAGTCCCCCTAAGCCACCAAAGTCCTGCTGGTTTGCCATGTGTGTGCAGCACTTGGCCAGTGGCTGCAGAGCCTGTCAGGATTATTTTCTTGCAGGCCTTGAAATTTCACTGATCATCTCTTTCTATCCAGCCCCCAGTCAGGGAGATGCTTTCTCTTCTATTTTGATATCACATCCCCACACACACATACATTTAAAAACTCCAACAGCTTCAAGACAACAGGCAGAAATAGGAAATCTGAGAGATGTCTCAATCTTTGTCACTAGCACATAAGCACAGTTGGCTCCAAAAAATTAGTGGGATCTGTAGAGGCAAAGCAGCACATAGCACATGCAGGCACTTACCGAGGGCTTTCATAAAGGCCTCAAAGTTTTCCTGGGACTGGAGTTCGTACTTTCCAGTGAAGCTCATGATGGAAAGGCTCTCTGTGCTCCCAACACAAGAGAAGGTGTCTTGCTGGCAAGCAGAGCCTGGTTTTATACAGTCCCTTTGCCTTAAAAGTTGGCCAGAGGTGAGATGATGTAATTGTTTTATGGTCATGCTCAAACATTAACGTAAAATTGGGCAATGGTCGGCGGTAAATTGCTCTACATTTTACGGACCACAATTTACAACAGGGGGGTAGGGAAAATCCCATAAAATCAATTTTACGGGGGTCGCGACGTGGCATCCATAAACAAATGATAAAAAAAAAATAATAATTGTGCAGAGAGATTAACTATCAGGGGAAGGAGCCAAATCGTCTAATGAGCTTGCAGTCTGGAAACACGTACCTGGAGGAGGAGAAAGTGGTGAAGGACTGTGTGTTCCCTGGAGCTGACTCCAGGGGGGTTTCTGCTCACTGGTGTGTGCACACAGGGTCTTTAGCACAGGCACGAAGAGTGGCTGCACACTGACAGGGACTGACCTGCTCACAAACCTCACAGAGCTCAGGTATAGCAGTAGTCACAAAACCATCACTGTCCTGTAAGAAAAAACACGACTCAAAATCAATTCCTGGGCTTGCACTGGCCCATTTGAAGACTGCAGTTCAGTTCAGGCTCCCTCACTATGGCCCTGCCTCCAGGAAAGGAGTTTTGTAGGGATAGATGCACCGGTGCCATTAGTGACCTACCAGGGCTAAAACACCCTTTCCTCTCCTTTTCCCAGAGAAACCACAGTCACTCCTGCACTGAAGGAGTGTTTTGGCCCTCAAAGCTGCATTTCTCCCAAATGCCACATTATAAGTAGGTCCAGTGGCAGCCTCTAAGCTGAGCCAGATTCCTCCCTCCCAAGTGGGACTCGGAGCTGGGCTCCTCTTGCAGTCCAATTCCTTTGCCTGAGTATCCCAGATTGCTGCGTGGCATCTGAGCATCCACCCTCTGGGTCTGGACTCCCAGGCTCAGCCTCTTGCTCCAGTCTCATCTGCTGCCCCAAAGAATTCCTACTCCCTCCCAAAGTCAGGCCAGGGATTCTCCCCCTTTTCACTCACGTGCCTTCTCTTTGCAATTCTTCCATTTTTCCTTCTCACAGCATCCTTGTCCTTTTTTGAAGTGAAGCCATGGATAAGAATGTGAAAGACCTGTCTCCTTGCAATTTGGAGACTCTGTCAGAGCCTTCTGCAGCCGCCTGTCCTGCTCCTGCCGGCTCAGCCCAGCTGCTCTCCATGCTGCTCTGGTGCTCAGTGACATTGCCCAGGCCAGGTCATCCTCAGTTTCTGGTTAATTAGTACAGTTTGGGGGGAGGAATCTGCAGGGGATGTCATCCCTGTGCACCACAAATCTGCAGGGGATGTCATCCCTGTGCACCACAAATCTGCAGTGGATGTCATCCCTGTGCACCACAGAGGGGGCCAGGTAGGTTCAGAGAGCACTCATAGCAGGTGGGTTGATTCATCAGTTTCTCCAAATAGCTTTTTTGGCTTTTTTTCTCTTTTATCCCCTTGGGAATGACATCACCTTAGAATTTACATTTCACCTTTTTCCCTGCCCAAGGGTGAATACCCCAGTGTTACACGGGGCTGCCCTGACACACGTCCCTTTTTAGTGTCTGTATGGTGACAGTGGTGATGGAGCTTTCTGGCCAGATCCTGGCAGCAGCTGGGGTTGGCAGCTCCCTGCCTCCTGCCATGGGCCACCTGGAATCACATGTGTGCCTCTCACATATTTGTGCCTTGGATCTCTGGCTGCTCCTCCAGAGCAGGTCCCCTCTCTCTGCATGATGGGGAGAGAGATTCAGACTTGAAAAAACTGCAGAGTTCCCAGGCCCACAGTGTCCCTGGAGGTCAAGCTCCTGAGGTCTGGATGTCACCCATCAAATGTTAAAAGGGGAATGTAATTGTCCAGGACTCTCTTGGTAACTGGGCAGAAATTGTTTGAGTAGTTCAGAGAAATGGACAACTCATGGGAGAATTCTCTCCATTTGGGACCCATATTGTTTTCTGCAGGTATCCTCTCAGCTTCTACTTACTGTGAATAGCTATAACACATTTATGCTCCCAGACTTGGTGTATTGAATAAATGTAGACTATGATCACTGCTGGAAAGTTTGGAAATGCAACCAACTGATTTTTGATCAATGATCAAAAATAAAACCTCTTTCTGTTCTGTTGGACTTGAGTTCTTTTTTTTTCTTTAGCAAAGAAATGCAGAAGTTCTTATAAAAAAGGAAGAACTCTTATTGAATGAAATTTGGCCAAGGTAATTATTATCTAGCCAGATCTGCTGAGCAAACTGCAGGTGAGATAAACTTAATCTCAATAGCAAAGTTCAGAATACTTGTACATCTCCCCCAGAATACAGGATCATTTAAAATACAACATCACTGAACTTTCCAGGGCCAAGAAAATGCCCCTGATTTGCATTAACACAAGGCCAAGTCAATTGATAATTTGATTAAACTAAATCCCTACCCTTAAACCTGAGCCTGATTTGTAGAAAGGGAAAAGACATGGATCATTTTCAACAATTACTAGAGAAGCTACATCTTGGGGGAAGCCAGCAGGTGCTTCTATGTTTAAGTTGCTTTAAAATAATGCAGAGATCTTAGAAGCTTGTCAGAAAAATGGACACAAGTGTCTCGTTTCTGCTTTTTGCACCTGAATCAAAGATGTGCAGAACATCTCAACACCAGTCTAGACATCCAAATGCTCTGTGTCCCAAGGTGATGAACCAGAGAAATGCCCGTTGGGAGGGACCCTTGAAGGTCTCTGTTTCAACCTCCTGCTCAAAGCAGGAATATCACCCATGGATCACCCATGGTTTGGGCCAAATCTCAAAACCTACCTCCTTTACCTCTCTGGGTACTCACCCTGGTCCTCCAGCACCCACCTTTTGAAGTAGAGGTGCTCAACCCAAACCTCCCAAAGCACAATTTGTGGCCGGTGCCTCATGTTATAACATCAAGAAGAGTTTGGCTCAGTCACTTCTGTCCTGTAGCTGCCCTTGGAGCAGTTGCATCCTTTTATCACCTTCTCTCAACCTTTCCCTGGGATTCCTCCTCTTGGCTCCCATTCATTCAGTGTCTTCCAAGGCAGTGGGAAACCACTCTCTTGTGTGCACTGCTTCTTGATGATTTGGACTTTATGCTGAGAAACAGGATTTTGAGTTTTAAGGTTCGCACAGAAAAAAATCTCTCTCTGCTTCCTCCAGTTTGAACTAAACTTCTACTTAAGATCTGAACTATGAAAATGACTTTACAGCCAAAGCACTGTGTGGGGACAGGCACTTTGCTTAGCTGGCAGCCTTGTGGAGGTCTGAGAATGTCTTTGTGCACCTCACCTCTATCACCTCTCATGCTCCTCTTGTCTATCCCACCAGTGACTCCCCAGTCTTCACGAAGCCTTTGGTTTCCCCTCAGTTCTTTGGGAGGCTGGGACTGGGCTCTTCACGAGTATTTCTTGGCCCAAATGTGAAAGGTTACAAGCAAGGGGTTTTGTCAATTCAGTCCTGGATTTTTCCAGTGCAGGTCCAGCTGGACACCCGAAAAGGCATTTTTCTTGGAACCTTGACCACAAGCTTGCCATTCGCAGATCTTCCTGGGCTGGGCTTCCCTCTGTCTCAACCTATAGTGTTGCTTAGGTAATCCCTATTTCTGCTGCCCTTGAACCTGGGAACTTGGTCTGCTGCCCAGTTTTCACATCTTTGGTCTGATTACTTTAAACCTTGAGTTACAAAGGTTTCTTTGGCAGGCCACATGGCTGCACTGCTTCGAAAGGTTGGATGGGATGGGAAAAGTGAGCTTTCTGTTGCTCTTGGTTCCCTCCAAGTTTTCTTTGTGCTGCATTACCAAGACAGCACTGAAGTGAAATACAGCACCTTTCCTAGGTTTTTTCTCTTCTACAAACAGCCTTAGCAGTCTCCTGGAGACTCCTGCCTCCAAGCTGTAACTTCCAAGCTGCAGATATGCAAGCGCCAGCTTGCATTGGTTTAGATTAGATATGCCACTATCAGAGCCCTGATAAGGTTGCCAAAAGCGGTAGATTGTAGAGAACTGCTGCTTGATAAACCTTTCCACTGATGCTGATATTCAGCAAAGGGCAACCCTCAGCTCTTGTTGTCTTATTACAAAGGTACCAAAGGGAGCAAAGGCTTAGTATCACATCTCCGAGGGCAAGGGAGGACTGCCAGTGACAGCATGAGACCTTAGCTCTGCTTGCCAGCAATAACCTGGGGAGCAGAGCTTACAGAAGACCCTGCCTTTGCTGCTGGAGTCTTGCCTTAGAGAAGGAATAAAGCTGCTGGCTGTGCCACTCACCTCCCGCTCTCTTGTCTCAAACATCTGCGGTGTAGCGCCATGGCCTCTCTCTGGGCACATGGACCCCTGTGCTTATGCCCTCAGAGGGCATGTTTTGTCCTTGGAGCTTTGGCTTTTATGGGATGAGGCTGCCCTCCATCCCACTGCCAAGATCATGGAGTCAGGGTATAAGAACTGAAAATGGTGCTTGTTTCTTGCAGGGCTTGTTCATGCCAGGGCAAGGAAAGAAAATGTTGGGAAAAAAATGGAGCCGTAAGCAGTTAATGTTCTCGAGTAAGGAAGGTCTGGAAGACTCCCCCAGAGCAGAGCCAGTGAACATCTAGCCAGTGCAGATGGTTCATCTCATCCCACCACGTTTGCAGTGCAGATGCCCCCATCTGCTCCAGGCACGTGAAGAGCCCCTGAGACACGGTGGGGATGAGTAAATCTTAGTCTGCACAGGTGGAGGACACTGGGATGTGGGGATGCAAAGGACAGCAGCCTCCAGTGGTCAGATGAATTCTGGTCCTGGAGGGACACCTGGCTGTCGCTTAGGGCCAGTGCTCACCTGTCCAGCTGGTCTGTGCTCTCCTTCATCCTGATTTGTCGAGCTCAGTGGTTCACTTAATGCTGCTCACAGGGGGTTGCAGTTAATTAGTCAAGGAGAGCTTCTCAGGAGCATACAGGCATGAGGAGGAGCCTGTTCCTGTCTCTCTCTGAGGCAAATGTATAATCATAGTTTATATATAAAATAAAGAAAAGTTCAAGCAGTAACCC